TGCCTACTAACGATTAGAAAATACTCTACTGTGCTAAACAAAAAGTGGAGATATAACATATAAATTATCGGAAAATCATTTAAAACATATTTAAAAATTCGGAAATAAATTAAGATAAAAGATACTTGCCTTTTCATCTTCAGAAATCGTTTTAACATCATCTAGATGGAAATCGTGTACCTACATTTAATATCGCACTTAGTGTGGTAGATGCGGTTGTTCAGGCAATGCTCTTGCACACGGTTAGAATCCCTGTCTTATTCTATTGAACATCATTTACTTCCCCGCTTTTTATCGCCTTAAGACGTTTTCGTTACAAGTGATGATTATTTGATGAAGCTAAGCAGATTATGTCTGAGTGTCGGTAATGTATTATGCTATTATCTTCACCTATTTATCTGCAACCTCTTCCATTATTCAGCACAGTCCTTTTCCTAAAGCTATTTTTTAAGCTAAATCTTCCCAAAACTCTTTATTCAGAACATTGAAGAACCATCATTACGACTATAAACGCTTTCTTTTATAACATAAGATTTTTAAATAATAATAATAATTCGCAATAGAACTATTACTTCAAAGTTAACAGTCATCGAAACTGCACCTGCCAATAGTGTCCGGACGCGTAAATATTGGACTGGAATAAATATTGGTAATCAGGAACAGGGCTACAGACTAATAAAGCCAGTACAACTTTACCCTAAATCACCTTTGACTTGCTGAGGCATGTTTTGAATAAATTGCATATTTCCCATTCTTCTAGAGGAAAACTTTATGGATTATTTTTTCAGCCATCCCCTGAACTGCTTCATTTACGCTACATTGAAGCCATGTAAATGTGGTCCTTCTTAAAATCTGTAGCGACCTTGCAAATGCTCTTAGTCATCGAATTGGCTAATAAAGAAAATTGCCTACCAAAAAAAAACTGAAGATAGAATATCTATTAGACTACACGCCCCGTTATGGTCCGTGCTAACAATGAGATCCTTCACTTCGACTAGTTGCTTGTCGAGGCTTGTAGAGACAGAACCGCTTATATGGCGAATATTTTTAGTAAGTAATAACATGAAATTGTGGCTCATAATAATATAAATAGTAGTAAGAATTAATTTACTATTCAACAGAGCCCGAAGTACTAGAAGTTCATTCTAGGCCAGATTTGTTCAGTATAACCATCGCGATTACAATTCTTTTTTTTCGTTAAATATTTCCTTTTTAGATTTTAATAACAACTGTGAATCAAACGTATCTTAATAGCTGTAAACTCAAGCTCGGCTGTAAACAAGCGTTACGCAAAGAAGACTAATTGCTCGAGCGTCTGGATGATCCAATCAGTAATTAATGCCTTTTCCCTCACAACCCACGCGTACAAAAATAATGTTCTTATGCGATTTTCGAGCTTGTTAAATCTAAAGCTTAGCGAAGATCGCTCCGCTTGTCTCACAAAAATCTTTGTTGAATTTTTCACGAATCGCATGAAAACTGGCAATAATGCAGATGCCACACTGTTGTTTGCCATGATGAGTTTGTTGTCTTGCCTTAGAGAGAGAACACAATGTACGACAAGCAGCCGCGAAAGTTTCCCTATTCCAAATACACCACCCTGTACATATCGTTTTCCACAATAGATGGGATCTATAGAAAGTGCTCACATATATATAAGCAAAGCCGACAAAAGCGCAAGACGGAAATGGTAAATAAGCACTTAAAGTCATAGGATATAAAACAGATATAATGATCCAGTGTTATCCTATCTTCTGCAAAGGAAAACAGTTGATCTAGTCAAGGTCCCCCGGTGTATCTCAAACTATAAGCAGGCGCTCACATTTCTAGATGACCTAGACTTGAGCTTCGACATATTACCGCTGTATATAAAAAAAAAAATTGGAAGCGAACATTTAGACTGTGGTGTTATTTAATGTAAATCGCTCGCGTAATATCTTGAACGGCCAAAATTCTGTTGTCGACAAGTTGACAAGACCGCTGCTTCAAGCACTATAGAGTGTCTCAAAGGTGGAAATCGCCAAACGGAACAACTAGTTGCTTAAAAAATATATACAGCTTTAACCTTATCTCTTCGTTGTTAGTAGATTTAGAAGACAAAATGATTAGCCTTTTCAAGTCAACGATAAATAATGGCAGCTCCTCCTGATGATCCTTTAGTCTATGACTATATACAAAAAAAATAATAAATCTTAATTTTTTTTTTTAGTTAGACAGTTGTATCCTACAAGTATGGATATAATTTCTATAACGATCTCTTTATAATTAGAAGATTATACACTACTTAAACGCTAAAAATTGCCTTGCTATTAGAATAATGGTAATGACTCTCCATAAGTGAAAATAATGTGTTGGGTTTTAAGACCTAAATGAAAGCTCGCTCCGTGTACATGGCATAATGAACGATATTTTTATTACTTCTATTAAATAGGGAAGATTGTTAAAGATTAGAGTGCTGTTCATTTGTATAAAACATTTCACATTGTGTACTTTTTGTGGGTATATATTTGTCCCCGTTTAAATAATTTAAACCACACACACACATACATATATATATATATATATATATATATATATATATATATATATAAAGCTATTTATGTGTCGTTGGCTTTTCCTTGCATTCTCGACTGCATCTTCATACCCGTTCAACGTCCTCACTAGTATTCACAATTGATTGATTTATTTACTTTATACCTTTAGCTTTCGTTGTTTCCGTTATACGCTTTCTTCGTCTTTGTCTCCTTTTCTCAAGACCATTCCTAGCGAAACTATTGTTATTGCGTGCCCGCTAATGTAACTATTTACATAAGTATCACATCGTTACTTCTTCACACAACATAATTATATACACTAGCGCCAGTGTGCACAACCAAATTACGACACAATTTCGTACAGATACGAAAAAAGTTATTTTGACATATACAAGATGAGCCAACAGTCCGTTGACAGTTGGAAAAGTCTCTGAACAGGTTAGAATGTCTTCATTCCAAATCTGTTAAAGTACGAGGGAATTATTGCGGTAAGGAGCGAACTCAATAGAGGTGCTTTAATTCCATCCTTGTTATTATTACGATACTATACGATAAGCATATTTTACTAATCTACAACTCTTCATCGTATTTGCTTAATATGTCAAATGCGTGTTTGTGTAAAACTCACTAAATATTTATTTACCGTATAAGACTCAAACCATGCTATTCCATGAATAAAGTTGTTGGAACATAATGTTGTACCAATCACGACGACAGCAACAGCAACAACAACAACAACAACAACAACAACAGCAGCAGCAATAAGCTAAACATATACTAATACTATGCCATTGAAACAATTACGGTAGGAATAGGGTGTCTTTATTACACAATTTACAATTTTTATCCCAATTTTAGCAGATGTGAAACAAAAACTTTCCAATTATTCAAAGGCTTTCATCTATCGTTTTAGCCTACCCTGTATTGTCTGCCACCAAGCCCCGCGTGCATTTTTACAGACCCATTAGCGTTTTTCGTAGATCACTGCGTCCGAATAGCGTCAGGACCTCAACCAGATGTGTTCATCTAAATTCGAATTTGACAATGTTACAAATCTGTAAAGCACTCGGAAAAAAATAAAAAATGTTTGCGTTTTTTACGGCTTAGCCCTTAATCGTTTTTCCTGCTTAAACTGCAGGCCATAATGAACCTACAACTAAAAGTATTTTTTAAGGATACAACTTTTCGCCATCGACTGCTAAGTAAACCTTCTCGAATGAATAATCTCCTAGTTACATCTACTTATAGTCATCCGCGTAAATTTTAACGCAGTCATACTTAAATGACCTGTTTAAATAAGGTTAAGTAAGCAGTAGAAATCATTATAAAGATACATACTTTTTCGTTTTACGGTTTTTCTTTCATGCCCATACTTATCTCTGTATGACCAATGTCCAGTTTGCCGCATTTTGTTGCAGTTGGGATAACAAATGTGTGAATACTAGCTAATAGCTAACAGCGGTTTAACGCTCCGAAGCTGACTAGCTCAAGTAACCTTGGTCTCACAATTGCCCCATTCCTTATTTGCATGTTAAAAGAGTTGTTCCTTCAGTTCGCTCTCGTTTCAAGGCTGTTTTGTTCAATATTTGTATAACACACTGGCAACGCCTGAAACTCTATTCGAATCATACCTCTACTTTTACAGAGCGTTCATCCTGCGCTTTAAAACTAGAAGTAGTAGAAAAAGAAAAAAGCTGAACAAATGAAAAGTAAAAGCCCTGTTGGGGTTATTTACATCTTACAAATGGATCACAGACGAAGAGAGAAACAAAAAAACCAACTATTGCGGCTAGTATGACGAAGTACAGATTAAGTTCTAAACGGGAAGAGAAGTTCTTGTAAGAGAGATTGTTGCTTACAAACATTGTAAACATGAAAAAGGTTGTCTCTTCATAATAGATTGATAATTCGCCTAACAAATGATGACTTTACATCTGCATAATTACATAAAATAGATTTAGAAAATTTTATTTTTCTAGAATCAATTAACCTACTAAACGTTAAAACATAAGTAGGTCATTATACCTCACTGGTTTTTTTTGGCCTGTGAAGGACCAGCATACTGGACAGCGCAACTACGTGGAAACCATCCCTTTGGAGGATCTAGAGGGTTTGTACCATAAGTACCTCGAGCAACGGATGGGTTGGTAACTAATTCCCCATATAACCAGTACCTGCAATCCAATGTTAAATTTAGTAGTTTGTGCATTAAAACTTTTTCTCTGCTTCTGTAATATGTAATATATAT